GAGAGAGGGGCAGAGGGAGAGAGAGAGAATCTTAAGCAGGCTCTGTGCTCAGAAAGCCTGATGCAGGGCTCAATCCTATGACCCTGGGATCCTGACCTGAGCCAAAATCAAGAGTCCAACGCCCAACAAATGAGCCACTGAGGTGCTCCTGAATTGTATACTTTATTTTATTAAAAAATTTTTTTTAATGTTTATTTATTTTTGAGAGAGAGAGAGAGAGAGAGAGAGAGAGAGAGAGAGAGAGCACAAGCGGGGCAGGGGCAGAGAGAGAGAGAGAGAGAGAGAGCACAAGCGGGGCAGGGGCAGAGAGAGAGAGAGAAAGGGACAGAGGATCTGAAGCAGGCTCTGTGCTGACAGGGACTCGAACTCATGAACCGTGAGATCATGACCTGAGCCGAAATCAGGTGCTTAACTGACTGAGCCACCCAGGTGCCCCTGAACTGTACATTTTAAAATGGTGAGGGATGCCTGGGTGGCTTGGTCAATTGAGCATCTGACTCTTGGTTACAGCTCAGGTCATGATCTCACAGTTTGTGAGACTGAACACTGAGCCCTGTGTTGGGCTCTGTGCTGACAGCGTGGAGCCTGTTTGGGATTCTCGCTCTCCCTTTCTCTCTGGCCCTTTCCTGCTTGTGCACACACAGGTGCGCTCTCTCTCAAAATAAATAAATAAACTTTAAAAAAAAAGGTGAATTTTATGGAATGTGAATTATACTTCAAATAAAAAGAAAAAAAAAAAAAGAGCATTTTCTTCCCTTTCCACTTTGCCTGCTGAGAATTGCTGTCTGGGCACTGGGGGGACACAGGTCCCAAGCTGAGACTTCTTGACCCGCACACGGACCTGGGTTTCCTGGGCCATGGCACAAGCGTGTCGGTTCAGTTATAGAAACCTGGAGCTGGCAGCGACCGGCACACTCATGTCACACATCATATATGTCACACATCACATCGCACAGCTCGGCAGAACAGGCCCCAGGCCCTCTGCCTGCCAAAGCAGGCTTCGTCCACATCCACCATCCAACTTCAGATGCCGAAACACCACCCCCGCCCCCACCAGAATGCTCTGCAGTCCAGTTTTCCGTTCCCGAGGTAGAGACAGCTGAGAAGAAAAATGGCCTACATCCATTCATTCAGCAAATCTACATGACATATGTAGGGACAGGCCCCATGCGAGGGGCTGGGGAGCACAGGATGTACTATTTGACCCCGCAGGATCAATGCTCTCCAGGATCTTTACAAAAGGTCTTTCAAGAACAGAGTGGGCTCAAGGAACACCCACCGCCTCTCCTAACCTCACCTCCCCAACTCTGTAGAAACCACTGAGACCCTGCCTAGTTGAGATCCAGCAAAGATGCAGAAGCATCTCGGACCTGGCTTAGTAAGACTGCAGCTGCTATGGGAAAAGACACAGGGCTTCTGGGTCACTCTGGCAAACTAGCAAACACAGACACTGAGACCCTGGCTTATGGAGGCTTTATGCATGCATCTTAGTAGTTGTGCAAACAGAGGTAGTGGTCCTGGGCTCCCCTTCAGACATACTCTGCCCAATTCAGCTCTTACCTCTCGGGAAAGGGTATTAGACACCTCACCCTTGACTGGATCCCATACTGGAGGGGGAACTCTATACAGGACATTATTTGATAAATTGGAACATGAAAGGTAGATTAAAGTATTGTTACAATGTTAAACTTTGTGAAGTTGATAACGTGATATGGTTATATAAGAGAATATTCGTACTTTGAGGAAACACTCAAGTATTTAGGGGTAAAGGTCAAAGGTATAGGTAATGTATCCTCGAATGGTTAGGAAAAGAAAATTATACCCTCATATATACATTCAGACAGAGAAAAGCAAAGAACTTGGACATGTGTCATTTGTTAGTGATGTGTGAGTTCCATTTGGGCTTCTCAACAAGAAGAGGGGTGCATGCTCCCTGCTCCTGGGGCCAGTGTCCTGGAGGGAGAACGTGACCCTATAGGCCCTGCCCAGGTCTTGACAGGACCACCGCTCCGGCCAGCGATCTCTTGCCTCGCCTCCAGGCCATTCTGCCCGCTGTTGTCGGTGAGCTTTCAAAAATTAAAATCTGATCGTGTCCTGCACCTGCTCAAATTTTGCAAGCTCCTTTTTCCTCATGTGTAAAATGTGAATAATAATCTCTTCCTTACAGGGCTGTTATGAGGGTAAAATGAAATATTGTGCGTGAAAAGCCGAACAGTGGTGCCCTAGAGTAAGTGCTTAAAAAAGAGGAGCTGTTATTATGTGTATACATGTGTGTATGCATACCCACGTGTGTATAAAAAATGAGGGAAAAAAGACTGGAAGGAAAGGCACCAAAATGTTATTCATGGTTATTTGTAGACAGTGGGATAAATGGTAGTTTTATCATCTGTGTTTCTTTTTTTAAATTTTTGCAAACTTTCTATAAAACAGTGTGGATTTTGCAATAAACGAAAGACATTTGTTAACACAAAACTCTAAACTTTCTGAAAAGATGGGTCCTTCCAGGATCGGCCAAAAATGTGTTATAAAACTGCAAATCTTTTTTTTTTTTTTTTAAGTTGATTTATTTATTTTGAGAGAGAAAGAGCGAGAAGCAGGTGAGGGGCAGAGAGAGAGGGAGATAGAATTCCAAGCAGGATCAGTGCTGTTAAGGGAGAAGCCCAATGTGGGGCTCAAACTCACAAATCATGAGATCACCACCTGAGCCAGGATCAAGAGTCAGACGCTCAACCAACTGAGCCACCCAGGCACCCCTAAAACTGCAGATCTTGAAGGGCTCTCAAAGACCAGGACCAGTAAAAACCCTTCGAACTCTCTTACCTGCCCCCATGGCAGGCATCACTAATGGATTACAGCTCTCTCGCTGGCCCCAAACTGGAGGGACTTGCTCAGGGTCACAGAGAATGTGGAGGGCAGAGTGGGCTGCAGCCCAGGGCTCTGGCTCCCAGGTGTATCTGTGCTGTACTTGATGTGCTTGAGGGCTCTCAGCCCTCTTTGAGTCAGTGTCCTGCCCCACTTATGCACACAGCCTTTCCTTCTCTTAGCTCATTTCCTGGGTCAAAGGGCATGAACAGTGCTCGGTCTTTCGTTACGGCACACCCAGTTGCTCTCTGGCCCAGAGCCCTGCCACAATTTTGTCCTGAAGGTTTCTGGGAAGAGCTGATCGTCAGGCTGGCCTTGGCTGACAGGAGGCAAGCTGCCCAGGAGCTCCATTCAGACCACTGTGGGTGGAGGCTCAGCTGATCCTCAGACTCAGGAGGTGCCTGGGGGGCCAGGCATGGCTCAGATGGGGCAGCGCTCCTCCCAGGCCTCCCAAAGCAGAGACCCCAGCCCCAGACAACTTCTCTTCCTTCTCAGAGAACAAGGGATGGCTCGTTCTCCCCTGGGGCCAGCAGGTTGCTCTGCCTAACAGGGTTTTATGCTGAGGTCTGACATTAATGGACATTATTAGCCAGCCTGATGGGCTATTGACCGAGCTGCTAA